GGCCCTTTGTGGAGAATTCGCCTCTTGCCCTGGGGRTCTCATTGTCGTTTTGTTTTCCCCTGCACTAGGAATCCCCCTTCCTAATAATCTCCATCCCATGGTACAAGAGGGTTCTGGCATTCTGATTAACTTGTAAAATGTGGTCCAGAGTTCTCTGGCAACTGATCTAATAGAATTTGCAAAAACACACCACACACAGGGAAAGAAGTCACCCGTTCCAGTCCAATATAATAARAGACTGTGACCGTTTCGTTGTAATGCAATTTTTAAAAAATATGGTAATCTGATGACTTAGTTCTGCTTGCAAAATGACCAGCCAGTCAGACCTGCTACTAATGCACTTGCTCTCAGGGAAGATAAGTGCCACTATCCCTAGCAGGCAAGTGAGGGGACAGAGACAGAGAAAGGGAAATAAAGAGCAGAGCAGAAAGGCGCTGCTGGCTAAAGGGATCTGACGGCCCTGCCTCAGTGGCAGCGTGACAGCTGTCATCACATGGATCCCTATCTTTACATTAAGTTCTTTTTCATTACCTGGGAGAAGTATTTTATAATGTTGTCATAATGACAYGTAGAGCCTTAGAGTAAATGGGAGCCCACGCACTGAAAAAATAAGTATCATCGCGTAATCTTCACTATCTCTTTAGTTGCAGTAAGGCTGGTGGTAGATTTTCCTTATGTAAAGACAGAGGACACCAAGCAAAAGTTTTAATTTAGGATTTACGACCCAGGGTCCTGTCTGCTGTCATCTTCAGACTGCCATATTTGTTCTAAGTTTTGCTTTTCCTCAGAACTTCTTGAAGCTGCAGATGTTTTTCTTCTGCATGTTCTTACTGACTCTGAGTGCCTGTTAACACAGCAGCTACCCATTTGTTTATATAATCAATGGATTTCAACTGTAAACAGCATCAGTGTTCACCACATACCTTCAACAACAAAGGCCCCCTCAAATGTCTGCTGACCACTTAAGTATGAGTAATTTTCGAACACAAGGCATTCAGCTGATTATTCCTAACACCACCTTTAATGAATTCACAACAAATTATTTAGGTTTCACAGTCTTGATCATCATTAATACTTTTCTTTTTACGCTCATTTATAGAAACTATTGAAGTTTCTACTTCTATTGAAGACGAGCTATTTGATCTCTATCATAAAAAAGTAAGATAGAGCTTAGCTAGAGACTTGCTTTAGAGATCATTTTGACTTATTTTAAGGCAAAATAGAAGTTCGAGGTATCTATTCCAAGCTGACTGCTTGTTCAAGATCAATGCATAAAGCTATAAAAAAGTTTATTTAGTACACAGTTATCCGTGCTATTCATTATGCTATTCTCATTATGCTCTGTCCCTCATGAAGAATAAATTACCCTCTAAACTATCCCAAATTCTTAACCCACCCATCAGAAATAGTTGTTCCAAGCCATCAGTGTTCACCCAGGAAAGCTAGGACATGTCTAGTACAATTATACTGAAATCTTGCAAGTGGAGAGACTGTGTCTCAAGGTAGGGSAGGCACAGGAGGCAGTTGCTGGGCTAACTCCTAGGGTTGGGATAAGTTGGGAAAAACAACCCATAACTCAATGCAATGCAAGTAAGCCTTCTTTCTTCTTTTTTTTTTTTTTTTTTTTTTTTTTTTTTTTTTTTTTTTTTTTTTTTTTTTTTTTTTTTTTTTTTTTTTTCTCTGCTTAAAGCTCTTTGTCAGGGCAATGTCCAACCTCTACAGAACACTGCAAAAATCAACCCTCCTGCAGGAAAAGCCCAATAGATGCACTGTCCCTTACTTAACTCTTTGCAAGTAACTGGTTTAACCGGTTTCCGCAAAGAAAGGCGGATCGGGATGCCAGGGCACTGACACTGAGTCACCACAGACACAGGAGGAGCCTTTCTAAGTTTTTATTGCCTCGGGCTGTGTCTCCTTCTGCCCTGTCAGCGGCTGCAGCGCCYGGCCTGCCCTGCTGGCTGGCGGCACCTGGGCCTGGCTCTGTGCAAAGGTTGGCAGAGGGCTGGGGTGGCAGGTTTAAGCTAGGTTTAAGTACCTGCCCAACTACGAGCAGTGGGAGGCATGAGCTATTCTACATAAATATTTAAATAGTGAAAGTCAAAATGATAGTTTTGGCCTTCTGCAGCACCAAAACGAATGCTGAGCATCGGCAAGTAAACTGCTCAAAGGGGAATAATGACAGTAAAACTGCATTTAGGTAAAGGTCTGTTATGGAATTATGTAATGGGTTCCTTGGTTTTTACTCTTAGCTGTTTTTCATGATAGAAGGGACATAAAGGATAAAAAGGTTTTTCAGGATAAAAAGTGATATTTTTCCACAGTGGATGCACTTGGGAAAAGGTCTGAATACACTGAGAAGAAACTTCATTTTTTAAGTCATTAAGGCTTCTAAGAGCAGCAATAATAATAAAAATGGAGCCATATATGCATATATAGCTGCAGCCTGATCCCTATCAATTTAAAACACTTTGAGAGGCCATTGTTAAGAGGACTGGGACTATGTCCAAACAGCATTTGGTGCTTACAGYGTCCGATTACTTCTAGCTTCTTTCTTCATAGCAAGACTGCAGACATTTAACTTAGTCAGCAAAAAKAATACATTATTTGTTAATACCAAGCACTACTTAATTGCTGAAACAGTAACTGATGTTTATGTTTCTACTTTATTTTACTATCTTCCATC